TATATTAGGTTGTTTGAAAAATTCGTTTCAAATTTCGCGCGTTCTACGTCGCTATGGTGATTAATGAGAGCGAGGGAGTTTCAAACGACTTTGTGTTTGTCAACACACCTTCCCGGATCTGTGAATCCGCCAAAGGAACCTTGCAGACCTTTCTAAGTGCAACTATTTCAGCAGAGGTGGAAAGTGAGAACCAGAAGGTCCACCTTCGTTACGTGATATTGTATTGCGTGGCTTCACGGTTTTGCAAACTCTGAATGAGATGTTTTCTATATATGGAGATGTTCGTGTCACTAAACAGTTCGGAAGTGGTATCTAAAGTTTGAAACTGGCGATTTCAATGTAGAAGACCAAGTTTGCTCTAGCAGGGCTTCAAGAGATTGATGAAATGACGCTTCTTAAGGATCTCGTGCGCGATAATCCGCGAATAACCGTTAGAGAACACACCGACATTCTGTACAAGTCCGTCTCCACCGTGTATGATCATTTTGTGACGATGCGGTACACATCGGAAACCCTCCGCGGCATAACCGACCAACCATCGGGTCGCTACCGGCGCTTTGTGTTACATTAATTTATCACGCGCGGCGCACACGTGACGCGCGTGTGTAACGATACACCGTCACCCGTGTTTGACGAACAATAAACAATGTGCTGTTGCTGAGCAACGAAAATACGGCGGAAGCGGTATTTAAGTCCGTTCCATCATGGAAAAGAGAGCGATTCCACCGGAGTCGGCCAGATCGTTCCAATCACAGGCTGCTCCGGATCCCGATCCCCAGGTCATGGAGACGAGTGCGTTCGCCGCCTTCAGATACGACCATCCCACTTGTCGACAAGAACGAGGTTGTGCAATCTCTCCCGTGAAAATCGCGGGCGCCGGATCCAACATCTATCCGGGACAGTGTGTTCGCCATCTCCACCGAGAGTTCCCGGCCCTCTCGCCCGCCGATCGGGTGGATCGGAGATTACAGCGAGTCGAGGTAGTATTCGCCGTCTCTGTCGAGTACTCTTGGCCTCGCCGCCTCGACCCCCGGACTAGGGCGACTCAAACACCGGGATAAGCGTTTCGCCCAACCGCTGACTGCACTAAACGCCAAGGCATGCAATACCGCCCGGGCCGCGTCATGTAATATCGCCGAGATCTAAGGATCATCCGTCACCGAGGCATAGCGACCAGTGAGTGCACACCGTCGCATGCACTCTGCCCGCGACCTGTTCTCCGCCGCATCCTGAAACGCGATCAACAACGTGATCTTCCTGTTGCATAGACGTGTTTACCAACTCGATCAGCGCGTGAGCTCGCGGCTAAATACCGCTCCCCGCAGCCACGCTGATTTCTTAGACGCTGTCTCGTATACCGAATGCCATGTATACATCACCGCGTACGGCACCTGTTGTTATTCCGCGTAACTAACGCACCGGGTTTCTTCCAGACCAAAACATTACCGCGAACACGAGACGGCCCATATATACATACCGTACCGCTTCAGTATTTACCTCTTGTCACTCCGAGATTCGTGGTAAAATTAAAACACCGGGCCACCGACCTTACACGACGCTCGACCAACTGTACGCCGACATTTGGACCACAGAGCCCACCGAATAAAAACTGTTTCACTCACTTACTCACTTACTCACTCACTTACTCCTAAAAGAATGCCTGGCAATCCGGCGAGCAATCCCGGGCCCACCGGCGACGTAGCAAATCAGAGAGTTTGCGGCCGAGTTTTATCTTGACCTCATCGGAGCAAGAGGAACCCCGAACACTGTAACGCAGAACGGTCAACCGTACCGACGACCGACGACCGGTTACAATCTGAAGAAATTGATTCTCAATTTGACCTGATGTTTGGGTGCCACATGAAATAAGTGAAAGGTAGCTAGTGGAACGTGTGAACACTTGCGATATGTTGCTTCAACGGCACCAAAAAGAACCTTTTTTGAAGAGGATTATACAGACAATAAAAGCTAGATCCTATACAACAATATTAGCAAGAAATCATGAAGAACCAGTAGCGTGTCTGCGCAAACAGTGCCTAAGCCAAGGCTTTCACACAAAAAAGATTCTTCTGAGCATCTGGTGGAATTTTAAAAGCGTGGCATATTATGAGCTTCTTCAATCGAACGAGATCATCAACGCAACGAAATACAGCCTCCAACTGGACGAGCTGAAAGCTGCCATCACACGAAAGCGCCCTGAACTGTGACCAACAGATGTGAAATTGTCTTTCACCACGATAACGCTAGACCTCACGTCGTGATGTTTATCCAAAGAAAGCTGCTGGACTTCGAATGAGACGTTCTTCTTCATCTTCCGTATTCTCTCAACTTTGCTCCATCTGACTACTACCTATTTCTCTCTTTGAAAAGTTTTCTTCAGAACAAAAAATTCGGATTTTTCGAAGTCTTCAACTCGATCAATTCTTCGTTAGAAAAAAATCTTCGTTTTGGAGCAAAGACATCATATAGCTACCTGGACTGGGGTCATTGCACAAGATGG